ATGAGGGGTCTGGAAGAACACCATAGTCCAGCATAGGGGTGACTACATCAGTCCGTTCTGTTCCCTCTGTTGGCAAAGGGTTTAGTGCCCACACATTCCAGCACTCCCTTCATCTTGATGAGTCATGAAATCACTTTGTACCTGAATTTATCTCTGTCCAAAGTGGATGGGTGTAATTTCTATCCCCCAGGAATATGTCAAGACAACTATCCTGCTGTAAGGTTTGGACAAAACACAAAACATTCTTTCAAACTACTCACTTGCCAAGCTTTCTTAACTGTTCTCGGATTGATCTAATACAAGCTGACAACAGACAGGCTGGGATGGGGCGTGTGTTTGTTCACTGCAAGCAAGAGCTATCGGAGCTAATAACCCCAGTTGCTAAATCCATTATCTTGAGTGTTGTTTTGTTTTTTTAATGAGAAAAGTTCATTGAAGAATTACTTTTGCAACATGATCTCTGTCTTAACATGAAAATCAAAAGGCTTCAGTCATGTTGTCACTTAAGATCAGCAGTGACAGATGATAAAGGCTTTGAGATGAAAGGTTTTGCCTTTGAACCCCATCCCTGGACTGGTGAGCTTATCGTAAGTAGTAAGCGTTTATAGTCATGCTGCGTGTACCCCAGCACCTCACTCAATTCTCTCTCCAAAAGGTACTGACAACATTCTAATGAGAACAGTGAAAAAAGGAGTCCTCTTTATTTGGGCGTTTTACTATTAATCCATCTCAGAACACGTGTTTGAATGACATGGAGGAACCCAGAACAGCTTGAGCAGATAGCTCATTGAGCTGCAAAGCCTCCATAGAGAATTCCTCATCAAAACAAAGAACAAAGTCATAATTCTGTAGGCACTTGAGAAAAGCTGGCATGCATAGTTTGGGGCATCTTTTAGGCACCCGGCGTGATTCTGGTGATTATAATGAATATCTTAAGGATGTCTCTCTGCCAGGTCTTGTGTCCTTTGCATCCACCCCTTTCACACCCCCACCGAGTGGTGATTCAGAGTGGCCAGAGGTAGGGTTAGGCTTTCAGATTCTCCAGCTCCACTCACAGCATACAGTATACTGTCATAAACCACTTGAATCTGCCTGTTACTAATAAGGAAGCAGACCACACAAGTTCACGGTGGAATGGACTGCCAGCCATACCACGTAACCACTGTCTGTAGTAAAAATGTCCAGGTGGAAGCTACCTAGCATCTGTCCAGCAAGAGTCCTTAGGTGGATGGTCAGCCTTGGGTTTTACTTCCTGCTTTAAAACACACTTTGCCAGGGGAAGTTACATGCTAATTTGGCAAATTATAAAACTCTTCAAGCTGGCTTTAGACTATTTTTTATTTATATGAATTACAAGCTAGGTAATAGAGGTTATTCTGTTTAGAAAACAGTATCTTTCTGGTGACATTTTTTCTTTTCTACATGAAGCTTTGCCTCGATTAACTTGTGCTCTCATAAAGTAGAATGCAGACCTTAGTCCCTGGACCATGTGACCAGTTACACAGAGACACGAGGACTCCCGAGTCTGCGTGCCGCAGGCCAGAAGCCAGGATGCGGTAATAGGGAGGAGGCCACGACTCTGTTTCTGTCTCTGAAAAGGGGCAGCAGGCCTCTCTGCTCAGACTGCTGCCGAGCGGGCCACGTGAGGTGGCACGTGGTGAGTGGCTGGCATGGGGAAGGCATCTAAGAAGTGACAGCTGCGGCCACTCTGGGTGAACTTTCCGTATGTGATGAGTGGGCCAGTCTTGCAGGGCTCTTAGGACTTTCGACCTGAGGTTCTGTGAAGTGGGGAACAGGTCCTCCTGAGTGCTAACACACGGAATGTTTACTGACGGGGTAGAAATCGAGGCCCTGGCTATCATTTGGGAAAATTGACCATCAAAAACATTTTTAACTCATACTGTTACACTCATCAGTTCTGAAAGAAATGAGCAGAGAGCGGGGGTGCCGAGAACAGACAAGATGAACCTGTGAAACCATCTTGTGCAACAACACCAGAAACTGGTTCTATTTGTATGTTTAAAACATACAAATAGCTTCTCTAATGCATCGAAAATATTTCAGGAGTCTAATAATTAATCGTAATTAATTAATGATAGGGGAGGTAGAACAGTGGATTGTTACAAATGTAGGGGGAGATCTTTAAAACTGTTTTGCTAATTTCTCTAAACATTTCCCCTCGTCCACTGAAGTCTTTCTTCAAAAAGCTTCATCTTAGGTATATTGCTTGGTTCTGGACATATAATTGTAAACTTATTTTACTTGTTTTTAAAACATCGTTAGCAAATTGGAACAGTCTCAAAGTTTACAAAGTAGTGAAAGCCATGTTTGTTATTATGGATTTTTTTGAGGTTATATTTTATGTTGAGTGAAAACATGGGAAGATGCAAGTTGTCTCTATTTCAAAATACTAAGAAGTCACTGGTGATTTTCCCAAGGCTTGTTCACTTTGAAGTTGAGACCAGATACAGAAAATATTAGTTTTCTTGAAAAGGTATACATTGTTTCATATTCATGGACAAGAATATAGAAACGGGAATTATAATCACTGTAGTAAAACTGGGTTTATGATTCTAAATTCATAAATTATGAGCTTGTAAAATGTAAGTCCTAGGCTTCATCAGATTTGCAACCTGCTCCTTCCTCCTTTGTTTCTGTGGTTCTTGACCCAGGTACAGGGCTGCAGTGTCAGAGGGTGGCTGCCCTGGCAAAGCCACCAGAACAAGGGCTTTCTCTCCCCAGCAAGTCATTGTTCTGCCTCCTCTTTCCTCCGAGTGAATCGGACTCAGGTGCTGGCACCTCTCTTGCTTGTCGCCATGCCCTGCTAAACTTGGTGTGCAGTGGCCCATGGTTATTAAATCTTTACCACCGGAGGAGTTGCTTATGAGCATAGTTATTTTCTGGGATTAGAAAGGCCTTCTGAATTCAACAAGTGACTCACAAATGGTCTTATTATTTCCTAATAATTAAAGTGCAATTAACACTAGCAATTAGTTCCCATGATTTCTGAAAGGCAGGAATTCAGGAGGTAATAATAGGTGAGCAAGGTTAGGAGCCACAGGACATCACTCAAATTTGAGTTCCTAAGACACAGATACACTCCAGAAGGGTTAACCCACGGAAGACAAACTCCTTTTAATCTCTGAAACTGAATGAGCCCTGTTTTACGTAAACAGGCCACCGTCACAGAGCCTGTGTGTGGCTGTGTGCCCTGAAGTGGAAGGCAAGACCTTTCTTGTCCATTAAACTGAGATCAGCGCGCACCAGCACAGCCTGGGAAGATTTTCCATCCTGCTACGCAAAATTGCAGCCCTTTTTCAACATTTGAGGAACAAAAAAAGTGACGTTTTTGTCTCTTGGGACAGCTATTTTTATATTTTCCCCAGAATTACCTGGTGGGAGTCCAGCCAAAATTGAATGCTAATAGGTAACATTTAAACTTCTTCCCAGAGCTTGGTTGGCTTATTCCACCTTTTCTGTTTTGAAATTTAAAATCTGACCACAGATACTGTTCTTGAGGGGCCTGGGTAAAATACAGTGTGGGTGGGTTGGATAAGGTGCGAAGTTACTGGTGAGGTGCCCTCTGGGGAGAGTTTTCTGGGGCAGTAGCCACTCAAACCCAATTGTCCGCCTATATAATATTGATTCTGCCAGAGTTTCAAATGTGATGCTCTTTGGTGCTACTGAGCCAATATTTAGGTGCTGGTCTATCAGAAAAATGCGTGGTCAGGCTATGTATATGGGTTGGTTTGTAATAAAGTTAGAGCTTCCCCACCAAGTTCGGAATTATTTGTGGAGTCTCCATTTGGAAATGGAGTCTTCCAGGCGACTCTTTTCCCACACTCCCCATGTGAGAGGTTCACACAGCCTGTCTCTTCCTGTGCGGATGAGTAAGTATGAAGGAAGAAGCCCAGTATTTATGACTTTAGCATTATTGTTTAGTGGTTTGATTATTTAAAAAGTCTCCGAGGGCAAAGTTATTCTAGACAGTGACTTTCCTTAAAGCATAGCCCTTACATTCCTCAACACTCATGTTCATCACCTACTGCCAGCCAGCTGCAACCCATACAGTGATACCAGGATTTCACTTTTTTATCCCAGCCTATTAAGGTATAAATTTTCTCTCACTTCTCAGGCCTTATAGTGGGAATGTATTTATTTAAAATTAAAATGTAAACCTTATTTAATCTCAGCTGTTACAAGTGAGCCCTTGTAACTAAATGTGGGTGGGCCCTCTTCCTAAATATGAGCAATTCCTCATCTAGAAACAACACTAACACAGCCATGAGTATCTAGTCCATGTCAGAGCAGGGCTGGAGGCATCTCCCTTCTCTCCATCCCCCGCCGAGGGGAGGAGGGCTCCCGAGCTAACCGGTCCTTTCTGGGAGGGACACGGAGCATGTGCATGTCCAACCCGGTGCCTTCTCTCCTGGAATGGCAGCCAGCGCCCACGCCTTGCCTTTGGAGGAGAGAGAAGGTGTTCCCATCACGCCAGGCTCCAGGCTGGCATGTGGCTCCTGATATAAGAAGAGTTAGCAAATACACGTGGCATCTCAGGTCCTACATCAGTGCCCAAAGACCTGCGTGATCCATAACAGAGCTGACATGGGCATCTGACCACATCACAAAGCACGAGGGCTTCGGTGTCCCGCTTATTCTCGGAATGCTCCGGGAACTTCATCCCCATTCATAGCATTGCTGCTAAGGTGCTGTTAACCCAGAATTTCATTTAGGTGACTTTCCAGCTGACTTTTGAAAGTAGCTTCAGTCTCTTCCATCTACCACCCCATAGAGTGTTCAACCAAAGTGTCTGCCACCCTGTTCTATGCTTTGCAGTTCAACTCTACAGGAGCGGTGGGCGGGGGGAACGGGGGCAGGATTGACAGAAACTGGGTACTCGGCCTGGTCTCTAACTGCTGACTCCAGCTGGAGTCCTCTGGGTGCCCTGAGAAGTGAACAGCTGGCGCCTAACCAGTTTTAACTCTTTCCACACACCTTAGGGTGATTCCAGTCCTGCTACTGCAGATGGGATTGACACCTCCTCTACGACCACCAGTGCCTTCACCATCCAGGAGTACTTTGCCAAGCGGATGGCAGAGCTAAAGAACAAGCCGCAGGCTATGGCTTCAGGGCCCGACCTTCCAGAGACCCAGATGGAAAGGAAAGGGGGAAAGAAAAGAAAGAAAGAGGCAAGAGATACAAATGTGGAGAATTACACGCAACCCAAGATCAAGAAAAAGCAAGACCAAGTTGAACAGCAGCTCAAAGACCCTCACTGGCACGAGAATTCTGATGCTTACTCTGAGGGTGGAGAGAATCATGTGCGGCCACTGGATGGCCAGGACTTACCACCAAAGCCCAAAAAGAGAGAAAAGAAAAACCTACAAAAGCAAGTTGAGACAGTAGTGGATGCTACACTAGATGAAACGCCAGTGAGAAAGAAGAAGAAAAAGAAGAAAGGTTCCAAATAAAGTCTCTCGAGCCAGGGCCTTCCAGCCACTCAGGTGTCAGGACGCTGCCAGGCAAACAGCTTGGCCCAGAGTCAGAGCACAGTGCACCCCGGAGAGTCTGTGCACATCTTTAACATGCCCGTGGACTGCCGAGTCTCGCCCTCTCTCCACACGTTCCCAAATCGTATTCCCAGAAGAACTTAATGTTCCAAATCATGGCTCTCATAAACAGATTTCTTTGTAGATTCCGAGTCCTTTGCCACGAGTGTTCATTGATATTCGTATGCACACGTCGAGTGTGTGTGTGCACCGGTGTGTGTGGGTATATCACAATCTACATTTGCTTTTGGTTTCCTTCCATAACAGTGAAGTATACTTCCTTCTGAAGAACTCAGTCTAATTAAAGGATTAAGGGTAATAGTTTAGATTCAGATAGTTCTTTTTGTTCTATAGCCAACCATATATTTTTGCCAAGTAGGTATTATATGATTACGTTTCCAAATCAGAGAGTTGGTTTGGTTTGGTTTAGTTTGGTGTAGTTTTGATGGGGAAATGTTTTAATGCCCTCTCTTCCACTAAGCAGTGGCAGCCACGTGATCTGAGGCCTTCTCCCCCAGACGGCGAAGTGTACGTGAACTGACTCCGGACGGTTTAACCTCGCAGCTCTCAGAGAGAGTGGGCAGTCTGTGCGGTGGTGCCGGAGCACAGACCCCTGTAGCGGGCTCTACTTTTTTTTATAACAATCACGAGGTCCTGGGAAGGTTAGAAAACTGGGAGTGTAGGGTCAGGAAATTCATTTTGTTTGGAAGTCAGTCACTCTCTAGATTGGAACTCACTTGTGAAAGTTCTTAAAAGTGGTAATAATACATGAATGTAAAAGATACTGTTCAGCCCTGCTCAAACCAAAGGCTATCTCCGCATTGAGTTCGTGCTGGGTTCGGCCACACCCTGGCGTCTCCCTGTGCGCCATTTACCCAGATCCCTTCACACCCTCTTGGGGACACAGAATGAGAATGTGTGCTTACAACGTAGAGGTCCAGCCCTATTGTTTTCTCTGCCCGTCTCTCCTCTCTTCCTTTCTTTGTTCTCTTTATCTCTTCCTTCTTTTCTTCTCCATCTTTTTGTCCATTTATTCCCTCACCCTTGCCCCCCACCCTTAGTTTTCAATTCCAGTTTTCTTCTAACCCCGTTCTAGCTGCCTGCTCCCCGCCCTGCTTCTGCAGTCTGGAAGGTTGGCCTGCTTCTGAGGGCCGACGTGTCGCGGTAGCTGTGGGGGCGGGGCGGGCGGGTGCTCTTTTCCACTGATTTATAGATCACACTGGATAACACACACACAATCTGATGACCTTTTGCCCTGATTTTAACTGGACGGGGTGGGGAGAATCAGGCATTAGACATGAAGCATGGCCCCAAAGCTTCTTAGAACTGAGAAAATATATTAAGGATGTTTGACTTTTGTATTTTAAGAGTTCTAAAAGGTGTGAATTGTTTTTAAAAATCACACACACAACCCATACAGGAAATTCTTGCAAATTCAGAGCCTGAGGTCTAGTCCTGAGTTTTATCAAGGTCCCCAGAGTTCAGAATCCGAGGCTAACGTCCAGTCTAATAAAGCACCAAAGATTTTAAAAGTCACATGCCCAAGTCATCTCTGCTCGTTCTGTCTTGTATATGAAATGAGTTCCAGAAGGCAGTGGGATTGTGTGAAACCTCTCTCTCCCCCCATCTCTCCCTCCGTGTGTGTGTGTGTGTGTGTGTGTGTGTGTGTGTGTGTGTAGATATATATAGGGTTTGGGGGGGTTTCCTTTTATTAACTTCAACTTTTTTTTACCAAAGTGAGAGCCAGGAGAATATACCAAGTTGTGTGCAGGAGAAGGAAGCAAGTGAGTGCTTTGGAAGCAGGCGAGAGGCATAGGTCAAGTGGGGTGAGGGGCCGGCTGGGAGGACCAGAGTAGGGAAGTGCTGGAGGGAAGTTCTGGAAGTTGGGGATTCCAAGGCAAGAGGGAAGCACTGCAAGATTGTTTAGGTGCAGCCAAATAGAGAGAACCTATAGTCTGGTTTTTATTATTTTAATGGACTGCAGAAAGAATTCCTGGATGATATTAGGAATTTCAGGGTAGCCTGAGAAAAAAGTACATGCCCAGCAAAGAGCAAATGGTGTGACCATTTGCTTCAAAGGACATGGAAGCCAGGAAGAAGGCCAGGGCTGTCTGCAGATCTGGGGACAGGCAGCGAGCAGGCTTGGGACCAATGGCCCGGGTGGGGAGGGAGGCTCGGGTGGGGCCCAGGCACCAGCCCACACCACCCCCATTCACCCAGCCTCCTGCGGGTGGTAGGGCCCAGCAGTGCCTCTGGCCCTGTCCAGATCGTCAGCAAGTTCCTGGCGTGGAGTGGGGTCACTGCTTTCATTTCCCCAAGTGTCTCTTCTTTAGGCCACTTGGTTTCTTGGATTTAAGCGGAAGTTAGAACAATGAAATAAACATGCTTCAAAGTTTCACTTCTTAGACATATTTCTTTTTTTAGTCTCACCTGAGGACATTTTTTTTCATGGCTTTTTTCGAAAGAGAGGAAGGGGGAGAGAGAGAAATATTAATTGGTTGCCTCTCAAAGAATCCTTGACTGGGGATCAAACCCACAACCTAGGCACATGCCCTGATACTCCAGCCAAATGAGCCACACCAGCCAGGGTGACATGATAATTTCTTACATTGTTAACAGATGAACCATATTTTTTGCCTCTTAATTTTTTCACTCAGTAAAAACTATGAGGTGTGCCCAGAAGGTACCTAGCCATGTAATATGAAAAATAAAGATATTTATTGAAGAACATACAAGGTAGGAGAAACATTGTACATAGGACAATGATGCCTCAGTCCCCTTCAAAGTAGGCACCTTGGGACCTCACACAGTTCTCTCAATCACCACCAGCTGTCCCATTATATTTTCCTGAATTTCATTGATGGTCTGAAATCTCTTCCCTTTTCAAAGGTGATTTTAGTTTTGGGAAAAGCCAGAAGTCACAGGGTGCCAAATCTAGGCTATAGGAAGGGACTGAGTCACTTCGGTGATTTGATGTTTTGCCAAAAACTACATGAGACATGATGCATGAGCGGGAACATTGTTGTGATGAGTTGCCAATCACCAGTTGCCCATAGCTGTGGTCTTCTGAATCATCCAAATAGTTACTGCAGAGGAATGTTCAAGCTTAATGCAAAATTTGATACAGATTCACTGCTCCACTTGCTCAGTCATTTTGAATGCAACGACCACACAATATACACGCTTAGTCAGTGGGGGCGTTGGACACCTTCGAGTCCCCTGCTGACTACTACAGTGAAGTCATTGTTCACACATGCGCATTCCAGTCCACTCGCGTTGGCTGCCAAGTTACATGGATGTTGCGCAAACCATTCTTGTTATATTAACAATGGCTGGACTTTTTCTGGACAGACTCTCATATATTTATATTCTTCAATGCTTTCCTTGGCATCCTTCAGTTTTAAGAGGGAAAGTAGATACCCAAGAAAAGATTTATCCAATTTCGAAGTTCTTAAATGTCACAGCACCCTTCTTTCCTTTCTGTTAATAGATAGTTATTACTGCATGGGGTCCCATATGCCTGGCCCTATTCCAACACTTCAAGTAAATCAGCTCAAATAGTCCTCGACCTATTATATGAGCACTATCATTAGTTATCTCCTTTAAAAACAGATAAACTCTGTTTTTATAAAAGGACTGCTTTCGATTTTTTTTTATGATGAGATTTCTGCTGCTCCCAGAGAACCAGTGAAAGCAGGTGGCAAACTAAAGAGTTTCACAGTGAACTGGAGTTAGTATTACTTACTGATACGTGAGCTGTAAAAAAAATGTGTTTAGGTAGCCTGCACATTTGAAATTCTCAGTGGACTTTCCTTGCCAACTCGGTCAAGAGGTTGGTGGGAAATTGGCTAAGTAACTCAACTTCTTAAAACCTGTTTGCCAGGCTTTAAAAAAAAAAAGAATTTCTTCTAATTTGCAAGAAATAGTGATGCTTCCATAGGCGAAACCAAAATGAGCATTGGTTTTACATCACAGTGCGTATCTGCTTCTCCCTTACCTGTTGGCTGACTCCTCGGGAGCAAGCTGGGACCTGCCTTTTTTTTTTTTTTTTTTTTTTTTTTTTTTTTTTTTTAGAAACAGCATCAGAGAAATGTTTCAGCACCGTCTGCCTGAGTGATCTCAGCCTGGACCAGCAAGCAGTGGCTGTATTTATAGATTTGAGTAAGAATTCCCCCACCTGCACCCTGTTTATCTCATGGGTTCTGCAGCCGCTGCAGTTTGGAGCCTGTTGTGCTGGCTGTGGGGCCGGGGAAGTCAGATCCGTGCCGTGATGTGCAATTTTATAGCTCTCGGTTATTAGTGAGCAAATTAGTATCCTGTCCTAATAAAAAGGGTGACTAGACTCCTTGCCTAAAGTATACTATCTAGTTAGGAAATATGGCCTACACTAAAATGGCATGTGCAAAAAAAAGCCTTTATGGGACCAGTAAGGGGGGACAAAGGCAGAGAGACAGCAAGGAGAAAAGGGAGGTGGGAAGGGGACTTCACTCGGGCGCCACAGCGCTGGGTATGGCTGCAGTGTGTGGGTGGACGCAGTCAGCTCCGTGGCTCCTTTTTCTCCCCGAGTTCAATTTTTGTGTAAGCATTGGCAGTGAACTTTCAAAGGAAGAATTTTGTAATCAGTTACATCTTCTATTTCCGGTATTGGTTTCCTCTGAAAAAGGTCCATGGATGCTGAGAGGCTGTTGTTTATTATAAAAACATTTGCTGAGCACCAACCTTGGACTAAGCCCTGACCAACTGAGGACTGGGTAACTAATCCATCACAAGGTCCACCCACGTTCAAGATCTACGAACTTGTGTCATTTAGAGTAGGTTGCCATGTCCTAGAACAGCGTCAATGGGACGTACCCCGGGCCTGGCCTCCTCTGCCCCGGTTCAATGGTGTTTCGTCACCTTCAGCCTTCATGTGAATGTTTATCAAGTCGGGTAGTAATCTGAAAGCAGTTCTTTGCTGACTCATTAGCTTCAACCTGAGGAGCAACTTTCTACTAAAATCTACCTTATTAGCACTTCTAACTGTGATAAATAAGCAAAATTATATGCACATTCTTCCACATAGAGTGAATTAAAAATCTTTTACCTAAGTGGAGAGTGAAGAATAGACCCCAGCCCCTCCTCTGCCCTGTCCCTCCTGTCACTAGCATATCTG